CACTCCCAGACTTCAAATTATACTACAAAGCCCTAATCATAAAAAACTGCATGGTACTGGAACAAGAACAGACACACAAACCAATGGAATCAAATAGAAAATCCAGATATAAATCCACAGATTTATGGTCAACTAATCTTTGACAAAGGAGCAAAGAATATGCATTGAGCAAAGAAAGTTTGTTCAATAAATGGTGCTGGGAAAACTGGGTCGCTACATGCAAAAGAATGAAGCTTGACTACTACCTAACACCATGCACAAAAAACAACTCAAAATGGATTAAAGAACAAGACATAATACCTGAAACCATAAAATACATAGAAGGAAATATAGGCGAAACACTACATGATATGCACATCAAAGACATCTTTACAGACACATCACCCAAAGCAGTGATAGTGAAGGCAAAGGTAAATAGCTGGGACGACATCAAATTAAAGAGCTTCTGCACAGCAAAAGAGACAATAACAAAAGCAAAGAGAACCCCACCGCCTGGGAGAACATTTTCGCACCCAACACTAATGATAAAGGACTGATCACAAAAATCTACAAAGAGCTGATGAGACTCAACAAAAACAAACGAAATAATCCAGTCAAAAAATGGGCAGAAGAGCTAAAAAGAAACTTCTCTGAAGAGGAAATGCAATTGGCCAAGAGGCATATGAAAAAATGTTCAACATCCCTTGTAATCAGGGAGATGCAAATCAAAACTACAATGAGATACCATCTTACACCAGTGAGAATGGCACATATTAAGAAAACTTGCAACAACAAATGTTGGCGAGGTTGTGGAGAAAAAGGAACTCTCCTGCACTGCTGGTGGGAGTGCAAACTGGTCCAACCACTATGGAGAGCTGTGTGGAGATTTCTTTCTAAACATAGAGCTTCCATATGATCCAGCAATTCCACTCCTAGGTATTTACCCAAAGGACACAGAAACATCAATTCAAAGAGCACCTGCACCCCTATGTTTATAGCAGCACTATTTACAATAGCTAAGCTTTGGAAACAACCCAAAAGCCCAAAAATAGATGACTGGATCAAGAAGATGTGGTACATATACACCATGGAATATTACTCAGCATTCAAAAAAGATAAACACATGCAATTTGCAGCAACATGGATGGAGCTGGAAGGGATCATGCTCAGCGAAATAGGCCAGAAAGAAAAAGACAAACACCGGATGGTCTCACTCATAGCAGGAATCTAGAAAACTTAAATAAGGGATCAGGAAAAGGAATAACTATAAGAAAGAAAATATTAAAATCAGCAAACAACTATGAGCCAGAGACACTCTATGGGGGTGGGGGTGGGGAAAGGAGGGATTGGGGTCAAAATAAGGGGGTTGTAATTGTACGGGGAATAAAAAATAAAATTTAAATTAAAAAAATAGGAAAGGGGATATTATCATGGGTTACACAACTCCTTTTTGTACTAACAGGATATGCAAAACTGTACTAACAGGATTTGTTACTATCCATGTACTAACAGGATTTCCTAACAGGATATCCATGTACTAACAGGATATCCATGTACTAACAGGATTTCCTCTCATTTACGGCGTTCTTTAAACATTTTTTAAATATTTATTTATTTATGGAAGAACCGGGGTATAGGCCAGAAGTGCAGGATGGTGTGAGGATTCACCAGAGACAGAGCGGGGAACAGAACAGGCAGACTGACAATATACACTGCTGAGGGGAGCAGCAGTGTATATCCTCGCCCTTCGGTCGGGGTCAAACCAATGATACAGAGTCTGCGGACAGACTCACATTGCGGCACTCAACCGCCTGCACCACCCGGGAGGCCCTTCTTTAAGCATTTTTTTAACTAAGTTTTGCTGACAAGAATCTTGAGACATTGGCAGATTAGAATGAGTGGAAAGAGTCTGAAATGCTCTAAGGATTTCTTGAAGCTTATTAGAGAGTTCAGGTGGAGGGTGCTGTAGCATCCTCTGCTTGATTAAAAAATTCCCCACCACTAGCCTCTGAAGAGGCCTTGTGATCAGGGTCAGACTCAGAAGAGTCCAGTAAATGTTTTTTAACCCCCTCGTGTAAAGGGAGCGCTAAGTTGTTCTTTATAATTGTTTTGAGGGGAGGTAGGATTATTACCCACAGGATGAAGAGCTTATTGTTTTAGAAAAAGCTTTTTACAGGATTAACAAACTTACAACCTTTATAACATACTTACTTATTTATACTAACAAAGATTTTAAGAGTGGGTTCCTCTTTCTGTTTAGTTAATTACCGGTGTTTGTTGAACAACAATTTTTACCTTTTAAGAAAACACATTTAAACATTAAATATTAACACCCAATCTTAAAACCTAAAGACATGTATCTCTTAAATTAAACCATTGAATTTACACTAGTTTACCAAATTTAGATCATGATCAAAATTGGGGGTTTTGTATAGGTGCCATTTATAGTTAATCCTCCGGAGGTAGAAGACAAGGATAAACAGAGATCTCTTGATTTTTATTTAAACTTTTGGCCATGTGTTAATTTTAAGAAGTCAAATTATCTATTTTTAAAGGTTTTTTATCTATTTATATACATAAGAACTAGGGTGTAAGCCAGATGTGTGGGGGTGAAAAGACCAACCTGAGAGTGGTGAGAACAGACTATCTACCGAAACATGCTGTTGAGGGGAGAAGCCGGCTGAGACAGGAGAGGCTGGCTCTGTAATGTGGGCCACTCCCCAGCCAGGATCTAACCCTTGCTGTACTGGCCTGAGATAGCTCAACAGTGTTGAGACTTCAACCCCTGTATTACCAGGGAGGCCCCATATATCAAGATTTTTTAATGAGATAGAAGTTAAAATCCTTATATAGATAAAGTGTTTAATTTCAACCATTACTTAAGACTGAGGGCCCAAGGTCACCAAAATTTTAAAGACAGGCAGTTGTTACTAAGTTTGAGATGCTAAAATATTTGAGTTTGTATTTTTAAGAAATAATCATTTGGCTTTATATTGTTTTTGCTTTATTTTATTGAGACCAAACATTTTTAAGATAATGGAATAATTTTTATGGACCATGCATGGGGAAAACAAGAGAAGAGAGGTTAAGATCTTTGATCTGAAGGGGTGTGAGATTATCACTCATCTTTCTAAGAGAGAGAGTAAAGATTTAACTGAAAAACTCACTGAAGAAAGTTAACATCACAGACTCAGTGTCTGTGGGCCTTTCACCAGGCTGATTATCATCACAGAGTCCGGCTCTGTGGGCCTTTTACCTGGCTGATTTGGAAGAAAGTAACATCACAGACTCAGAATCTGTGGGCCTTTTACCAGGCTGATTTGGAAGAAAAAGATAGGAAAGACACGACTGAAAACACCTTCTTACCGCTTGGTCGCAGACTCTGGGTCTGTGAAGCCTTTTGGCCAGACTTGAGAGGATGTCCAATTCCCGTCTCCGGGCTTGAGAAGCAGGGTGTGGGGTCCCTGTTTGGGAGCCATTTGTTGCATCAGGCAATATCACACTGATAAAGAAACAGGAGTCGTGGAGCAGGCTACATAATGCAGGATATTGCTGAAGAGCAAGATCCTGGCCCTTTTATTGACCCACGGTATTGGTTGTAAGGGGGAAGAGCAAAAGGAGATTAAGGGCATGGAGATGATAGAAAGGGGAAGGGTGTAGAAGATTAGGGATTGTGAGTCTGCCCTCCGGCACTTCTTACCTACTTCATGACACACCCTAATCCCCAGCCATTGTTCTAATCTTACTGACAAGGCGTTCCACTGATCAGCTTCTGGGGTCCCTTGTCAATACATCGGTCCTCGGCCAGGGCGTTCCCGGCCATACATATCTCGTGATGGGTAAGTCGGGAGACGTGTTATGCTTTATTTTATTTTATTTTTTTTGCAGATTTATTTACTTATGAATACAAGAGCTCGGGTGCAGGGCAGAGATGCGGGGGTGGGGTAAGGGAGTTCACCAGAGACAGCGCGGGGAACAGAACAGGTGGACTGACTGAAATCCACTGCTGAGGGGAGCAGCGGGGAGACAGGAGAGGTCTGTGGCTCCCCGTGGGTCACCTTCCTGGCTGGGGATGGAACTGGGGCTCCAGAGGCTGTGGATGGCTTCACAGTGTGGTGCTTAAACCCTTCCCTACCAGGGTGGCCCCTAGTCATGCTTTTATGTCAGCTTCAGGTAAGGGGATTTTTAAGAATGGTTTAAAAAATAATCTTTCCCAGAAATTCAAGCCACTTTGTTTGCCCTTTTAATGACTAGCGGATAATGTAGGGTCACAGTATTTTGGGCGCGGAGGAGGCATTTGCCTGCATCTCAATGTTCATTTGGGAGCCGTCCCACCAGCGCCTGCGTCCGGGGTGCCGTGGCCTCTGGGAGCCCCTGCGCGCCCAGCCCCGCCCAGCGCACCTGGCTGTACCTGTGCCGCTACCGCACGTGCACGCTCGTTCAGGCCCTGCTGGCCCCTGACTCGGGGTGAGGTTCGGCTGGGGTGAGCCTGGTCCTTCAGGAACCCCGTTGGGGCGCCGCTGCCCCTTGACCTGGGGAGCCGGCGGCGGGGAGTAGACAGGTGAGGCTCAGGGAGGGAAGGCGCTTGGGCTCGGGGAGGCGCATCTGGCCTGCACCCCGGTTCTTGTATAAATAAATAAATCTTTTTTTAAATTAGCCTTTTTCTAATGATTCCCAGGCAGCAGGTTTAATTGCTGCACTTACCAGAGAAAATTCCTGGAGCTCTAGAACAATTGGTGAGGAGAGGATGCCTCGGCAGTGCCTGCAGCATTGTTCAGGTGAGACCCGCCTTTAGGACCATTTATTTATTTATATTGTCTTAGGGTCTTCCCTTTCCTCAAGTTCATCTCTTTTTTTTCTTTTATTGCATCATTGTTCATTTTTTTTAGGTATTGGATTCTCCCTTCAGGGGTAGTCCCCATAGTGCTCCCACCAGAATAGCACCCGTGACCCATCACCATAATCCCTTGTGCTCTTTCCCTCCCCTCTGTTCACCCCCTCCCCCTCCGCGCTGGGGGCCTCAGCTCTTGGTCAGCCTGCTGGGGTTGTCTTTTTCTCTACCTTTTGTTCAGTTTCTCTATATTTCCCACGTAAGAAACCAGCTGATATTTCTCTTTCTCCTGCCTTACTGTGGCTAGCATCATCCCTTCCAGCTCCATCCGTATCACCACAAACAGCATGAATTTGTCTTTTTTGATTATGAGCAATACTCCGCGGTGTAACTGTACCACAACTTTTTGATCCATTCATCTGTTTTGTGGCATTTGAGTTGTTTCCATGTCATGGCTATGACGTGGAGTGGAACTCCAAGGAGTGGAACTCTGGATCATGTGTAGACCCGTTTTCAGTGTTCTGAGGAACCTCCACACAGCTGCCCATAGTGGCTGGACCAGTTTGCGCTCCCACCAGCAGCATCAGAGACTCCTTTGTTTCCACCGCTTCTCCAGCATTTGTTATTGCCAGTTTTGTTTTGTTTTTTTAATGAGGAGCATTCTCACTGGAGTGAGGTGGTCCCTCATTGTGGTTTTGATTTGCATTTCCCTGATATTAGTGATGATGAACATTTTTTCTATGCCTGTTGGCCATTTGCATTTCTTCTTTGGAGAAGTGTCTTTTTACTTCTGCCCATTTTTTTGGACTGGGTTTTTTGTTTTTGTTGAGTCATGTAAGCTCTTTGTAGATCTTTGATATCAGTCCCTTAGCTGTCATGTGGTGTGCTGATATTTTCTCCCATTCAGCGGGGTGTCTCTTTGTTTTGATCATTGTCTCTTGTTTACATTCTCCCTGGTTTTCCTTGCTTCTGGAGAAGAATCCTCAAAGATGTTTCTGAGGATCATGTCATTGAGTGTTGTCCTGTGTTCCCTTCTGTATATTCGATGGTGCCAGGTTTCACATGCAAGTCTTTCATCCACTTGAGTTGGTTTGTGTGTTGTGTGAGACAGTGGTCTACTTCATTCTTTTTCATGTTGCAATCCAGTTTCCCCAGCACCATTTATGGAAGAGGCGAATTTTTTCCAATGTATATTCTTTGCTCCTGTGTCATAGGTTAGCTCACCATATATGTGTGCTTTTATTTCTGGGCTTAACTTTGATTCCATTGGTCTCTGTGTCTGTTTTTGTCCCAACATAGTTTTTATTATAACAGCTTTGTCATATTGTTGGATGTCTGGGAGTGTGAGACCTCCATTTTTCCTCCCTTTTAGTCAGAACTTTCACTGCTCAAGGTTTTGTGATTCCATATGAATTTGAACAGTATTGGTTCCATTTTGTTGAAGAACACCACGGAAATTTTCATTGAAATTGCACGGAATCTGTAAATTGCATACAAATAGGAAATCCCATCTAGGTTTGTTACTTTTTTCCAGTTATGGAACATTCATAAAACAGAGTGTTAATAAAAAATGTATGTGTTGGGCCTTCCCGCTGGCGCAGCAGTTGAGCGCTGGGTTGCAAAGCTGCCTGCAGCCTCTGCAGCACCGGTTCAATCCCCGGCTGCTACCCGGCCACTGGAGGAGGGGCCCACATGGCGCGCAGACCTCTCCTGCTGCCAGCTGCTCCCCTCAGCAGTGTATTTCGGTCCTTCTGCCTGCTCTGCTCTCCGCTCTGGCTCTGGTGAATTCTCTCACCCTCCCACGCTCCTGACTGTACCCAGTGCTTCTATAAATAAATAAATAAATCTTTAAAAAAATGTATGTGTCATTTTCTGTAATGTCTAAAAAGGTGTTATTTTCTGGGGTGGAAATGTTGGTGAGGATACCCATTTTGTGGGGCCTGTGTGCAATTCCATTTCAACATTGCTCAAATGGGTTGAGACTAGAACATCTGTTGCCATCTTTGCTACCTTGAAAGTCACCATGTCACAAACAATAAAGGTCACGGATAGACATGGCAATAGCCTTCTGCTCTGTGTCAGTGACTTCCTTTCATTGACAGTGGACAAAATTCATTTAAAGGGTAACTTTTTAGCCAAAAATAAAATCTCCTTTTTAAAAAATGGGAGTTAAATATTGTTGGCATTCTTTGGTTCCTTGAATGCCTCTTGCTATTCCCACCCAGTGTTTTTTTTTTCTTTCTTTCTTCCTTTTCTTTGCACCCTCTTCATTTATGATACTTCTGACCTTGTGTAACAGGGTGGCCCCCAGGAAAGGGGGAGGTTCCAGGTTTCCTGGCCCACCCAAGGGAGGGTGGAGCTGAGCAGAGAGAGAAGAAGCTGCAGAGGAGACTGAGGAAGGAAGCAGAATGGAGCCAGAAGGAGACCTGGAGGAGGCACATGGAGCCTAGAGACACGTGAAGAAACTGTGCTTGTCTTTCGGTCGTGGACTGGGTGACACAGATGTGGGTGAGACCCGTAGGGAGGTGACAATGGCAGTTTTTATCTTGATTTTGATTTTGCTCTTTTCCTTGGGCTTGTCTGGTTGTTTCTGACCCTTTTCTGTGGGTCCCCACGGGAAGATGCTTTAGACTTGTGGCAGGCTGTGGGGCCTTGCTCTGGGCCAATCCCATTTGGATGTGTTAGGGGGAAATGATGTCCTGAGTTAATCCCATACAGGCTTTGTGGACCCCACCCCCACTCCAGACTAAAGCCATCAAGACATTGGGAAAGACAAATCCCATCACCACAAAAGGGAGGGTGGCTGGGACCTGAGGGTGGAGTTGGGCAGCCAGGTTGGATATAAAAACCAAACACGTGGGCCTTGGGGTCGCTGGCTCGCGATCGCTCGCCTCCTGGCTTCACCGCTCCTGGCTGGCGGCCAACTCTGAGAGCGCCATTTTGTGATTCCTGATCGGCGGATTGGGTAGGACTCATTTAAAACTTTGTCTCCCACTTTTCTCCCAGAGCTGTACATTTCCTCATTTCCCCTTCCCTTGTAAATAAACCTTTTATTAACCTTTCGCGTGCGCCTGCAGTAGAGCATTGATAAGTCCTTTTAAGCGTGCGGGTGAGGACCCACAGTCAGGCACCCTGTTTTGTATAGGGGTTGCTCTACAACAGTTGGAGTTTTACCCACAAGGGGGGGGAACTTTGGGTGCTTGATTTAGAAACCAGATTCTTTGCCTTTTCTGTATTGTTTCCTAATTGTATTAAAGTTCCTTCCCATTAAAGTCTCATGTTTTGTGTTAATGGGGCGGATGACAGAACCCTATATAGAATAGGCAGGTTTGCAGGGTTTGGGCTGCCCCTCTCTCTGTCCTGTAACACTTGTACGGTTTACAAGTTTACCCAGAAATAAAACTGAGACACAGGGCAAGTTAGGGTAATTAGGCAGTTTTAGGGACACTGCACGAGGGGACCTCGGAGAGTTGAGGAAGGCTTCAGAGATGAGGGCAGCAAGAGGAATGTCACTAATTCCACTAGGAAAAACAAACATCCCAGGACCAAGGACAACATTGTTAATGCTGACCTAGGTTTCCTTCAGGTGATAAAGGGAGGTAGAGATTGGGGAAATGGAGAGTGGTTTAATTTATGGACAAATTAGAAGGGCAGCTGTTTAACTTCAATGCAGGGATGCCCACCCAGAAGACTGGGCCATAAAGATAAAGATGCAACAAATGGGGAAAGACAAACCTGTTAGATAAAGAATGTGAAGATCCCCCGCTAAGAAGCAAATTAAGTGAGACAGCCAAGAACTAACCAATCACAAAGAGACTGGTGGAGCTTTATAATAATGAGGGAAAGAAGGTATATATTCCCAGAGACACGTCTCCAGTTTGGCTTCCTTGCCCCTCCCAGGCCTGGTTTCATGGCCTGGGAGTCCCACTTTATTTCAGTTCCTTTTCTCCTCAATAAACTTTTTCTTTCTCTAAACAAACCTGCCTCTTCTCGCTTGCTTGCCTGTGAGTCTGTGAAGTTCCTGCTGCAGCTTCGTGAGACACCAACCCATGGGGGTCTAGTGGCTGGGACTCAGCGCTGCCCCTTCAGCCTGGGATCCGTTCCTGGCTGGGAGACTAGGCCTGACAATTCCAGGATCAAAACCACTGTTGAACTACCACAAGTGAATCAGTATAAATCTTGATACTGCCAGCTTTCCTGTCAATGATGGAACCTCTGCTGAAATAACCATGTTTTCACTTGTAGGATGAGACAGAAAATAAAAGTGTTCTCTTAGGCAGGACACTCGATTTATATCGATCTGTGACAAGTTGACTTGGAATACAGGATTTTCATTCTATTATGTTCTATATTTCTTTTTGCAAAGGCAATGAAATAATCACAGGAAGGTTTTATCAGTTATTTCAAATTTTGTTTTATGGAATGTCATTGCTCCATTCAAAATTTTGTCTTTTTCTTCCCATAGTTATGCACAACTTTCAGGCCTCTTGTATTTGTTTTGTAAAATTTTTATTTATTTATTTATTTATTTATTTAAATTTTTATTTATTTATGCATACAAGACTGGGGTTGTAGGCCAGAGATGCAGTGATACTCTTCTGAGGGGAGCAGCAGGCGAGACAGGAGAGGTGTGCTGCACCATGTGGGCCAGCTCCCAGGCTGGGGATGAAACCTGTACCACAGTGGCTGCCAGTAGCTTGATAGTGCTGAGACTTATCGCAAGTGGGATTAATTGGCTTCAGTCAGAAGTTGGCTCTCAAAGAGAATTTTATTACTATGTTCTTCACATACACACACATTCACATAGGCAAGGCAACCCAAAGTTCCCAGAGTAGCTCTGACTGAAGACAGTAGCCACGATGTGTCTTAGCCGGGCCTTCCACCCAGGGGAAAGTCCTCCGGCCGTGGAAGTCTCTAGGCTTGAGGGCCCGAAGTCCGGATGGTCCCCAGGATGTTGAGCCGGTCTGCAGCATGTACTGCTGTCAGAGAGCAGGCCGCCAGTTTGTGGGAGGAAGAACCGGGGAGTGAGGCTTGGTTCATGGTGTGCCAAACTGAGGAGTTAGGAGAGGTTCTGGCTGGAGAACAGTCTGAGTCCAAACAGGAGCAGCAAGCTGGACTCGGAAGAGGAGCTTCTGGAAAGTCCTTAGCTCAGAGCCAGGTTTGGGACTGCTTGGAGAATGCTTCATGAATGCACTCCTTTTATGCATCCTTATCAGGTTCAGGCTCAGGCACCATCTGTTTTTATCATCTTTAACATTCAGGGTGTGGACGCAGCCCCATTCATTCACGACGCTCTCAGACACCTTAACATACTCTTAGTTTCACTCTTAGCCTGTGTATTTATATTGCTTGTAAGCTTTTTATGTTGATTACATGCTTAACCCCTTGCACCCAGAGGGAGACCCCAGACCTCTTGTATTTGAGGCTGGAAGGGTCTGGGCTTTGAATTAGTGCCTTATTATTTTCACTGTTTTTTTTTTTTTATTTTTACCTATAACTAGATGAAGCTTGTTGATTAAAACAATAAATATTGTAAAAATTGAAAAAGGGTAAAATGTGCTCATTTGGACTGACAAATTAGTTCAAGCTAAAAATTGAAAACCTATTGATGGAATTCAGGTGATGGGGTTCAGTGTGGGGGGATTCTTGGATCCTCTGACAAATCATTCAGTAATGTTCCCTTTCATCAGCACATGGCAAGGTGATCGAGGAAAAGAGAGCAGGAAAGAGAGAAGTCTGCATAGACTCAGATAGGCTCTGAAAGAACAAAAGCTGCATTTTGCCAGGGTAAGAGGTGTTCTTTCATAATGTTCTGTGATGGAATGAGTGTGGAAATTATTGCCTTGGGGTCAGAATGGGTGGGTCTTCTAAGTTTGATAATCCTCTCTAGCCCCACCTCTGACTGGTCATCTTTTCTGACCCCACCTTAGATTGCTGGAACCTTCCACAGGTGGGTTAATATTTATATAGATTGCCCTTATGATACCTCCCTCAGTAAAAACAAAAAACAACAACAAGGTGAACTTGACATTAACTGATATGCCGCTGCTCTTCCTACACCTGCTTTACTATCTGGACGACAATATTTTCACCCTTAGAAATTTTTCTATAACTGCAACAGAATTTTTAAGGCTTTCTTTAAAAAAATTCTATGGTGGGCCGCCCTGGTGGTGCAGCGGCTGAGCGCTGGGCTGCGAGGCTGCCCGCAGCCTCTGCAGTGCCGGTTGGATCCCCGGCCACCGCGCGAGGGTCCCACATGGCGCGCAGACCTCTCCTGCCGCCCGCTGCGCCCCTCAGCAGTGTATTACATCGGTCTGCCTGCCCTACTCCCCGCTCTGGTTCTGGTGAATACTCTCACCCTCCCCCGCTTCTGACTGTACCCAGTGCTTGTATAAATAAATAAATCTTTTTTAAAAATTCAACTATTTCTTTTAATACAGACACACACATATATGTAATATCCCAAATGCTAATATCTAAATCCAGAGTCCCCGCAGAAGGGCGACACCGACTTGTTCTCTTCTCCGAATGAGCGAGAATCCCTATTTCAGAGGGTTCTTGCCTCCACGTCATTCTATCTCCCCATCTTCAGGGCTCTGACGCCACACACTCCCGCTTCCTGCTCCCCCTCTGAGCGGCCCCCCACGGCTCTCGGCTCTCCGGGCTGTGTCCCCTCCTCGCCCGGCTGACCCACCCCTCGGCAGCGACTCGGTCCCCCTGCGCCTCCCGCCGGCCCTGGCGCCTCCGCCTGCCAGTGTCCCGCCTCCGCCGCACCGCCCCTCCGCGCCACCAGGCCGCGCGCGCCGCTGCCCCGCCCCGGCCCCCCCCGCGAGCCTCTACGTCCTCGGCCTTGCCCCGCCCCCTGCGCGTGACGTCCCGTCCCTGCGCGCTGACGCGGGAATGGCGGGGGGAGCGGAAGTGGCTGAGCCGTGGCCTCCAGCGGCGCCCACCCCGGCGGAGCGGCCCGCGGGCCGAGGCAGGAGAAGCCCCGGGGGCAAAGCACAGGAGGCGGGGAAGTGCGGGGAGACGCTGAACAGGTCAGGGGAAGGTGAGGACGTCTCCCTGCCCGCGGCTGACGGCCGAGCCGTGAGTCAGGGAACCCGGGGCGGGGCGGGCGGGCTGTGGAGAGCTCTGCGCGGGTCATTTGGGTCCTGGGGGAACATGGGGGTCAGGACATTCCCGAGTGTGACCCTGAGGGTGCGCGGCGCCCCTGAATGAAGGCGCATCCCCCGTGTTTGCTCCCAGCACCTCCCTGCTGCACTGATCAACCTCCGGATGGGTTTTCTGGGCTCTCCGTTCTGTTCCATTGATCTGTGTGTTTTATCTCTGTGGACTTAGGATATAATTTGGAGAATGTATTGTAAACTTTTCTGGGGCTGACATCCCCCTCCCCACGCCAGGTCCAGCAGGCAGGAGGGCAGAGCCGAGTCCCAGTCTCCTGGGGTGCAGGTTCTTACCCAGTAGGTTGCGTGGTGCCTGGGGCTCTGCATTTCTCACGGGGTCTGAGATGCTGCCCGTGCTGGGCCTGGGCCCACGTCTGAAGGGTGAGGCATCACTTACCTGTTGTGCAGCTGATGTGGCCATTCAGAGCCTGGAAGAGGGAACTTTGACACCTAGAAACTGCCTCATGAGGCGACTTCAGACTCCCCTTGAATAGAACCAGGCTTTCCTGAGCCTTGAGTGACCAAGAGCCACACGGCTGCCACACTCTGGATACAATGTCTGCTTTTCAAAAATGGGTTTGTAGTCACCATTTCAGTGTATTGAAACCTGTGACTATCTCTTTATCACTAAAGGACACCCCCGAGATTCCCACAGCAAGGACAGCTGGATGCTATCACCAATGGGGATGGAAGGTCCTTCATGGGAAATCATCTGAGACACTGAAGGGCCCATTCCTAAGCTCTTGAGGTCTTTTCTCTACTGATACCTGGCCCTAAGAGGATCTCTCCTGTATTAGAGCGTGAATAAGCCACACTCATTCACCTGGGAAGTGGACGTTTTGTCGATAATCAACTTTTTAATATTTATAATCTGTTAAACTGATATTACCTCCTCCATCATAAATCCTTTTATGCTTGCTTTGGAGAGAAGTTGAACAGGTCAGGGAAGGGGAAAGAAATCGATGTTTACTGAGCACCTGCTGGAGATTACCTGACCCTGTGCAACAAGTCCATTACTTAAGTTATGTGATCTCACTGGTGGCACTGTAGAGACATTATTCCTACTCCGTAGTTGAGAATCCTAAGGTCCAAAGGAGACAGGAACTTGTGTTAAGATCATACAAATAAGGACGAAAGTCAGGGATTTTTGGACTACATATTTTTGGCCAAATCAGAGATTGTCAAATGAGGCTAATCTGGAAACCCCCTGAAGGCCAGCGGGAGGGGAGGAGTGTGGGCAACCCTGTCCATCCTCAGAACAGCTCCGTGGGTGTTGGACTTCCTCCTTCATAAGGAAAGAGCCTCAGGTTAAAATAAAAGTTTAATGTATCATTGTGTTACATGCAGATGCTGTCTTTAATGTTGCACATGATTTCCTTAATAGTTTTAGAAATAGCTCTAATCCCAAATGTGATTGCTACTCACAGGAGACTGCATTTCAAAATAGCCTTTTCTGTAATTATTCCCATACAGCAGATTTAGCTGCTGTACCTACCAGAAGGAATTCCTGGAGATCTAGAACAGCTGATAAGAAAGCAATGCCTCAGCAGTGCCTGCAGTATTATTCAGGATAAGACCCCCCCTTTGACTGTTAAAGATTTGATCTATGTGATCTATACAAGTGGGAAACACACTAGAAGCAGTGACTGGTGTCCTCAGGATGTTGGTATTCACGGTGATTGTTTTGTTATTCATGTTTCCTCTGTTGATAAGTTTTTCAGTGAACTTGTATCATTTTGTGATTAGATTTTAAAAAGGTTATTTACATAGTCCTAAAGTTTAGATTTTTGCACATTGCTCTTAGTAATTTTCAGTATTGAAGAGCACACATCCATTCTCTGAAACAATCTCGATTATGTTTGTTATTCCAATGAACCGAATGTGAAGTTGAGTGTGAAGATGTATGTCCTACTTTAACAAAATGCTCTGGAGAGCGAGGCAGCGCTCCCGCCTGCCTGTGACTGTGCAGGTGTTTCTTTTCACAGACCTTTGGCGTTTTCAGCTCTCTCTGCCCGCTGGTGTCTGTGCACTGTCCTGTACTTACCTTCACTTTTAAATTGTGCTTTGGATATAAACAAAATGCAGAACAATTCTCTGGAGATAAAAATAGGTCTATTTCATCCTGATACATGTTCTTAAACATATTGTGGCAAGCGTTTCTCTATCCCAGCATCAGCTGTGATCACCTCCTATCTTCATTAGGTTTGCCATAGTGGGGGTAGGGCCAGCTCCAAACAGCAGCCTTAGCAAAATACATTTCTTTGCTTTAATAGGTGTACTTATATTGCACCAAATAAAAGGTGGTGCAGGCACACCTTGAAGATATTGTTGGTTCATTTCCAGAATACCACGGCAACCCTAATATTGCATAAATAAAGTCATTACTTTTTTGTTGGTTTCCTGGTGTGAGTGAAAATTGTTTGCTCTATAGTGTCGTCTATTAGGTATGCAGTAGTATTTTGTCTAACGGGAAAATAGCCTAATTAGATATCACTGAGACATGAGGTGAACATATGTTTTTTGGGAAATGGTGCTGCTGGACTTAGCCCAGTCCAGGTTGCCACACACCTTCAATTTGTGAAAAGCAGTATCTGATAAAGCAAAGCAAGCAGGATGGGGTGTGACTTTATAGACACTTCTGAGAACAATCCTTTGGGTTTTAATAAAGTATACACATCTGGATAAGTGGACTTCAATTTAATGATGATGTTTATATGTAACTATTTTTTTTCAGCAGTTATGTCAGCACAGGAGTGTGTGTATTCTTTTCCATGATAGAAAGTACGCTGAACACTCAAGGTAGTGAACAAGGGTTAGCTAAATGCCTGCAGTCTGCCAGGGACTGGGCTATACACAAAGCCTCTTTAAAATTTATTGTGGTCTTTTAAAAATGTCAAAAACTTATAGCTATCATTGGTTGAATCTCAGTTGTAAGTAGAAAATAGGGAGTTTAGTTTTTATTATGCTATTGAACAGCTACAGAGGAAGCACATATGACTTGGCTTCTGCCTAAATTCTTCCCCAGGCTGTAAATCCATGTGTCTGCAGTGAAGTAGCCAGTACTCCCTGCCACCACACTCTGATCCTTTTGCTCCCCAAACTGGACATTACTGTTGACATTTGGGATCATGGTACCATTGCTGTGCTTTATTGTTTTGAATCATTGGTGTTTTGTTATTTATCTTTTTAAAACACTTATTTATTATGCACAAAAGATCTAGGGCACAGGCCAGAGAAGCAGGGGGTGGGAGGACTCACGAGAGACAGAGCGGGGAACAGAACAGGCAGACCAATTGAAATACACAGCTGAAGGTAGCAGCGGGTGAGACAAGAGAGGTCTGCCTTGCCAGGTGGGACACCCGCTGGCCGGCCGGGGATCAAACTGGGGCTGTGGGGACTGTAGACCCCCTCATAGTGCGGTGCTCAACCCCAACCCCCTGTGCCACCAGGGTGGCCCTAGATTTATTTTTTTAATATTTTATTTTATATAATTCTTACAACATTCCTATTTTTATTTTTATTTATTTATGCATTTTTATTTATGCATACAAGAACTCTACCAATTTCTAATTCAAAGTTTGCTTTTTTTGTTTAAAGATTTATTTTTGTGTAGAAGACCTGGGGTGCAGGCCAGCAGTGTCGGGTGATGAGAGGATTTACCAGTGACAGAGTGGGGAGCAGAACAGACGGATATACTGAAATACACTGCTCAGGGGAGCAGCAGGTAAATACAGGAGAGGTCTGCTGTGCCCTCTGTGGGTCAGCTCCCTGACTGGGGATTGAACTTAGGCCATATTGTGGGCCATTGTGGTGATAATGGTGAGACTTAAGCCCTGGTCTACCAGGGAGGCCCTCAAAGTTTGTTTTGATGTTGAGTAAGCATAATTATTTGTTGAGCTCATTGAATGTTACAGAATACTAATACAGATGTTCCAAAGTTAGTTTGGAGGGCCTCCCCAGTGGCGCAGCGGTTGAGCGCTGGGTTGCGAAACTGCCCGCAGCCTCTGCAGCGCTGGTTCGATCCCCGGCTGCTCCCCGGCCACCGGAGGAGGCTCCCACATGGCATGCAGACCTCTCCTGTCGCCCGCTGCCCTTTGGTCCTTCGGTCCTTCTGTCTTTCTGTCTGCTCTGCTCCCCGCTCTGGCTCTGGTGAATTCTCTCACCCTCCGGCGCTTCTGACTGTACCCAGTGCTTGTATAAATAAATAAATAAATAAATAAATAAATAAATCTTAAAAAAAAAAAAAAACTGTGGCTCTTAGAACTATAACATCAATTTAAAAAATAAAAAGTTAGTTTTGAAGGTGCACGAAAAATATTTTCATTATGGATCTGATGGTGGGTATTGTCTCAGGGGGCTTATAAATGTTATCTCTGAGACCTGAGGAATTGGTCTTACTCTTTAGATGCAGACTTTACTATTTGAGGCCAATTGAAAAATTGGCATCTTTGATAGAATGGAAGATATAGTGATCATTTAATTTTACATTAAATAATTTAGAATATTATAATAGCTAATACTCAGAATCATCTGGAATAATTGGAAAGCTGAGTCTGTGTGGGAGACTGTGGCATTATTTTCTCTCTGAGTCCAGGATAATGTATGTGCTATTGCTCGGAAATCCTCAGTGGCCACTTTGTTTTGGTGGGTTTCGAGTGAACCTCCTCTGCTGTTTGTTCCCAATATTTGGTGTTGAGTTTTCATGGTTTCCATATTGTGGAAAATAAGCTAAGGTCATACATGTAACAACACTAAAAGTAGCCTTTCACTTGGGTCTGCAGGTAATGAATTTTATAGAACAACTTGTAGGGTGCTTATTCATCATTAGTGTACATGGAAAGATGGTGACATTTGCAGTGGCAGGTGCCTGTTTTCCTTAAGTCCTGGAAGAGAACAAGAAGAATCTTTACAATTCAAAGATTATAGTTTATGGATCAAGAATTTTTATACAACCTAAGCAGGCTGAGGTCTGAGCATCCCTAACATACAAATGCTACGTCCATGTTCAGGGGAGATCGTCTTTTCTGTTTGCAGTGTATCTGGGTTTTTCTGCTGAAATGAGTAAGTCTCATGTGGCCCTGTGTGAACCACCGATACTAAAGAATCTGTAGACGGTACCTTAGTTAGGATTGCAGGAAGATCATCAAGGGTTAGAACGAGTGCTCATCGTGTATGGTTCACTTCAATGTCTGTAATGAAACCTTGCAGGCTTCACTGATTAGGGATGAAGAAGGTTGTGGCTGACACCCCAGGATGCCAAAGCTGCTGCAGCCGGTGTGCTCATGAACAAAAGGGCACTGAGAAGCCAGTGTCTTGTCTTAAGTACCTTCCTGTGTGGAACTCAGAACCCCAAGGAAACAGGTGAGTGTCTGAGTTGATGCCTGGTGAGCAGCAGACCAGGTCAGCTTGCCAAGGAGCGGCCCTCAGCCGTGTTCCTCTGACACCTTGGGATCACAGAGCTGTAAGCATGAGGCAGCTCTGGAGCTGTGGCTGCCTAGGCCTTTTCCTATCAGAATAGCATCTGACAATCATATTATTTACTCTCTCAATGACCTCTTTTTGAAGTGTGCTTGCCTGCCGTGCAGAAGCTCTTTGCTATGCTATGAGGTGAGTGTGTACCTTGATTCTTCCATCCACTCAACAGATCAGGTGGGCACTGCTGACCCCTCTCCCCTGGGGTGGCCACTTCCTAGTCCTGCCAGTTGCAACCTGAATCTATTCAACAGTACTGAGCAATACGTTCTTATTTCTGAAATGCCACATTAGATATATAAAATTATCAATATTTATATACAAAGAAAAGTGATAGAATTTGTGATTACTGAATAGTCTAAGTCGTCAGACTCATCCAGATACTTCTTTTACATCTGAGAGAAATGTGTACTGTTATGGAACATCAGATAAAATCCAGCTGTACTTTAATCCCATTTCAATCTATCCTCACAGAAAATATTGACTCTTTTTTTTCCTGCAGACATGCAGCTGTCAACTATCCAACTATGGGTCTAGATTTGCATTACACTTTTATTTCCTACCTGTTCCTTTTCATCTGTAACACTTGTCCCATGAAACAGCTTTCACTGTCTGAATATGAAGGCAGGAAGTGCAGTGTCATCAAACCTGTTGGATAATGTTCATGGGCACAACAAATAATATTGGCTAAATTTAAGGGGATATATTTCTGTTTTTAGAAGTGGTAAAATCACTACTTATCGCCATGCGTTGTTAATGTCATAGTTATCATTCCAGTAAAAATTTCATTTCATACCAAGATGTATGACATTCTGCCCCACCCCCCTAAGTAAAGTCTTTAACACATTGAAATACCCACAAAGTATGTGCACTGGATTGAAAAGTAGGTGAAGTTACAGAAGCTCCTAGGGAGATAGACTGGGATCTCTGGAAATCTTAAAGATTTGTAAGCAATAGCAGAGAGTATATATATTGTAAAGATTAGTGAAGACCCACAAGATTGTGGTGATCAGAAAATGGGCGGAGCAACATGGCGGCGAGGAGACGCTGCGAGTAAGATCTCCCATTAAAAAAAGTTAATAGGGAGGAAAAGCGGCAGGTCCCAGTGAGAACCGGGACACGGAAGATAAACGGACGACTCCAGCAAACTACCCGAAGAAGAAAGTGGCCATAAAAGAGGACCAGAAGGGAGGGAAGCGCAGAACCCTGCTCCCCTCCCCCGCCCACAGAGGCGGCACTCTCCGACTGGCAGAGAGGAGGGAAACAACAAACCAAAACAACCAACAAGAACAAACGACGCAGCAAGCGGGACTGTGAGCGGAAAGGAACTATTGCAGCCACCACACCCCGTGAACGGGAGCTGAGGCGAACCCTGCAGGATTCGCCGCGGTGGTGAGCAAACGGCTCCGGGCGCCATTAGAGAAGAACAAAGACCCCGGGAGACGCGCACACAGCCCGGGCTGCTGGTAAGCTTGCGCGGAAACGCGGCGCGCTCGGGGAGCTTGAAAAGCAAGTGCAGACCGGAATTGCGGCTGCCCAGGTACCCGCGCCTGCGACCTAGGCTTGCGGGGAGACGACCTAGGCTTGCGGGGAGACGCGCGGAGGTCCTCACTGAGGTGAAGGTCCCTCCCTGAGTGAGCAGGAACCAGGCACCCGGGCACGGGAGCAGTGCAAAAGGCGCCATTCCCGCGCCACTGAACTGGGCTACAGCCCGCGTCCTGGAACTGAGGGCTTTGAACTGAGACCCGGGGCACGAAAATTCGGGGCGTGGGTTCTCCACGACGGTGGGGCACAAGGCAGACACAGCACCCCAAAGCTGTTGAGGTGTACCCTACCATTCCCGCTCTGCTCCCTGTCCCACGGGGTTGGGGGGATGAAAAACAGCCCCCCAAGGACACTAGGAGAGATCTCTGGCGCCACCTAGTGACCAGGAAAAAAAAAGTCACTAACACCCCATAGAACAGGAAATTTCTTAAGACTGCTTGAAAAGGGCAGAAGGCTTCTGCAGTGGCCAGCCGGGAAGTTATTCCACGCCAGGCCCCTTCCGACCAGCAGTCTGAGCCCACAGAGGGAGCAGGCACTCACGTCCGGGGCAGACCGGGGGCGCAGAAGAGTGTGCCTGAAACCGGAGGCGCAGGGACTGCATCCCGCTTTGCCATTTGAGAACAGGGACATTTCTTCAGTAAAAACTGCCTAAAACCAGCAGAAAGCTCCCCCAGAAGGCAGAGATGGCTCCTGGAAGAGCCAGAGGGGAGCGGAGAAGTTCACCCAAGATGCCAGTCAGTCCGAGCATCACAGTGTCCCAACGCATACGACAAATTAGAAAACAGACAGTAGGGAGTAGAAGAACCACACGCAACCTAACAACTCCTCAGGAAAGAAGCACACCACAAAAAGAAAACCACTCCCCAGATTGCAACGACAGCAACTTGGAAGAACTTCTGAGCCTTCCAGAAAGAGAATTTAAAATTGCCATGATTAAAAAAGTGATAGATCAGAAGAAGGAAATTGAGTCCCTAAAGAGGGAAAACAATGGTCAGAAGAATGAAATTGAGTCCCTAAAGAGGGAAGTAAAAGAAATGCAGGAGATCAAAGAATTAATGGAGGAACTAAAGAACTCCGGGAAAAGCAAGGAAAGCAGAATAGATGAAATGGAAGAACGAATAAGTTCTCTTGAAGACACAGAAATAAAAAGAACCAAAACAGAAAAGGAAAGAGAAGTACGAAGGAAAAAGAATGAAGAAAGACTTCGAGAACTATCTGACTCCATGAGGAAAGGAAATATAAGAGTTATAGGAATGTCAGAAGGAGAGGAGAGAGATGTAGGAACAGAGAATATTACAAGGAGATAATTGAAGAGAACTTCCCAAATGCGAAGAAGGAGCTGAAAATTGATATACAAGAAGCAAGAAGAACACCAAACTTCCACGACGAAAGGAAAAACACAGCAAGACACATAATAGTAAAGCTCCCAAGAATCCAGGACAAGGAAAAAATAATGAAGCTGACAAGAGGAAAGAAACAGATAACATTCAAAGGAAAACCAATCAGGCTGACATCAGACTTCTCTGAAGAAACACTACGGGCAAGGAGAGAGTGGAGGGACATAGTCAACAGACTCCAAGAAAACAGATGCCAACCAAGAATACTCTATCCCGCAAAGCTCTCTTTCCTCCATGAAGAAAGAATATGGACCTTCCCAGACAAAGAGAAACTCCGGAATTTCATTACGAATAAACCCCCACTCCAAAAAATACTACAAGGAATCCTAAAGCCAGAACCTCAGAGGGACGAATAACAACGAAAGAAGACCAAAAAAAAAAGTTATTAAAAGAATAAATAAAATCAAAGGAAAGACAAACATAATGGCAAATACAGATGCTAACATATCAATATTAACTCTAAATGTAAATGGACTAAACTCTTCAATAAAAAGACACAGAGTTGCAGCCTGGATTAAGAAACAAAACCCAACCTTTTGCTGTCTCCAGGAAACACATTTAGCTACAAAAGATAAAAATAGGCTCAAAGTCAAAGGATGGAAAACAATCCTACAAGCAAATGGGCCAAAAAAGAAAGCAGGAACAGCTATACTTATATCAGATAAAACAGACTTCAAACTCAAAAAAATAAAAAGAGACCCCAATGGTCACTACATTATGATTAAGGGGACAATACTTCAAGAAGAAATAACACTCATTAACATATACTCACCAAACGAAAGAGCACCAAAATATATCAGACAACTGTTGTCCTCTCTGAAAACAGACATCAGAGAAAACACATACGTAGTGGGAGACTTCAACACACCACTATCAACAATGGATAGATCAACAAGACAAAAAATAAGTAAAGAAACTAAAGCTCTAAATAAGGACCTAGAGCATTTGGGCTTAACAGACATCTATAGAACACTAAACCCAAAAAAAACGGAGTACACATTTTTCTCAAGCGCACACGGATCATTCTCCAGGATCGATCACATACTGGGGCACAAGACAAACATCAACAGATACACCAAGATTGAAATCATACCAACCATCTTTTCTGACCACGAAGGCATCAAACTAGAAATAAATCATAAAAAGAAGGCAAGGAACTATCCTACCTCATGGAGATTAAAAGCCACACTACTGGAAGACCACTGGACTAACGAGGAGATCAAAGAAGAAATTAAAAAATTCTTTGAATTGAATGACAAGGAGGACACCAATATCCTAAATGTATGGGATGCAGCAAAAGCAGTAATAAGAGGAAAATATATAGCAATAGAAGCTCACATCAAAAAACAAGAAAGAACTCAAAGAAACAACCTAATCTCGAAGCTCAAAGATCTAGAAAAAGAACAACAAAAAAACCCAAATCCAGTAGAAGAAAAGAAATAATAAAAACCAAAGCAGAAATAAATGAAATTGAAACTAAAAAAACAATCCAAAAAATCAATGAAACCAAGAGCTGGTTCTTTGAAAAAATCAATAAAATAGACAAACCCCTAGCCAGGCTCACAAAGGAAAAAAGGGAGAAAGCACAAATACACAGGATCATAAATGAAAGAGGAGAAATCACAACGGACACAGCAGAAATCAAAAGAATAATCAGTAACTACTATGAACAGTTATATGGAAACAAGTTCAACAATCTAGAGGAGATGGACAAATTCCTACAACTCTACAATCACCCAAAGCTAGATAAAGAAGAAATAGAACACCTAAACAGACCAATTACAAGCAGCGAAATTGAAATGGTAATCAAAAACCTCCCCAAAAACAAAAGCCCAGGACCTGATGGATTTACAAATGAATTCTACCAAACATTCAGAGACGAATTAGTGCCTATCCTCCACAAACTCTTCCAAAAAATTGAGAAGGAAGGGACCATACCAAACACGTTCTATGAAGCCAATATTACACTAATACCAAAACCGAATAAGGACAACACAAAAAAGGAAAACTATAGGCCAATCTCCCTAATGAACACTGATGCAAAAATCCTCAATAAAATTTTAGCTATCAGAATCCAACAATGTATCCATAAGATAATTCACCACGACCAAGTTGGATTCATTCCAGGGGCACAAGGATGGTTTAACATCCGAAAATCAATCAACGTTATCCAACACATCAACAAAAAGAAATATAAAAACCATATGATAATATCAATAGATGCTGAGAAAGCTTTCGACAAAGTGCAACACCCATTCATGATAAAAGCCCTTGAAATTCTTGGGATACAAGGAACATACCTCAACATCATAAAGGCCATCTATGACAAGCCAACAGCCAGTATCATTCTCAATGGTGAAAAGCTGAAAGCAATTCCATTAAGATCTGGAACAAGACAAGGATGTCCACTCTCACCACTGCTTTTCAATATAATACTGGAAGTCCTAGCCAGAGCAATAAGACAAGAGAAAGACATCCAAGGAATCCAAATAGGAAAAGAAGAAGTCAAACTATCACTATTTGCAGATGATATGATAATATACATAGAGAACCCCAAAATCTCCACAGAAAAACTAATTCAACTCATCGGTCAGTTCAGTAAAGTGGCAGGATACAAAATCAACATTCAAAAGTCAGTAGCCTTCCTATACACAAACAATAAATCTGAAGAAGAAGAAATCAAAAAAACCACCCCTTTTATTATTGAAACAAAAAAAATCAAATATTTGGGAATAAATCTAACAAAAGAGGTAAAGGACCTATACAAAGAAAACTATAAAACACTGTTAAAAGAAATAGAAGAAGACACAAAGAAATGGAAAGACATCCCCTGCTCATGGATTGGAAGAATAAACATTATTAAAATGGCCATCCTACCAAAAGCAATATACAGATTCAATGCTATTCCAATCAAAATCTCAATGTCATTCTTCAAAGAAATAGAACAATTATTGATGAAATTCATATGGAATCACCAAAAACCCCGAATAGCCAAAGCTCTACTGAAAAAAAAAGAAGGAAATGGAGGCATCAAACTCCCAGACTTCAAACTATACTACAAAGCCATAATCATGAAAACTGCATGGTATTGGAACAAGAACAGACATACAGACCAATGGAATCGAATAGAAAATCCAGAAATAAACCCACAGATTTATGGTCAACTAATCTTTGACAAAGGAGCAAAGACTATGCATTGGAGCAAAGAAAGTTTGTTCAATAAATGGTGCTGGGAAAACTGGGTCGCTACATGCAAAAGAATGAAGCTTGACCACTACCTCACACCATACACAAAAATCAACTCAAAATGGATTAAAGAACTAGACATAAGACCTGAAACCATAAAATACATAGAAGGAAATATAGGCGAAACACTACGGGATTTGCACATCAAAGACATCTTTACAGACACATCACCCAAAGCAGTGATAGTGAAGGCAAAGATAAACAGCTGGGACTACATCAAATTAAAGAGCTTCTGCACAGCAAAAGAGACAATAACAAAAACAAAGAGAAACCCCACCAACTGGGAGAACATTTTTGCACCCAACACTAATGATAAAGGACTGATCACAAAAATCTGCAAAGAGCTGATGAGACTCAGCAACAACAAAGAAAATAATCCAGTCAAAAAATGGGCAGAAGAGCTAAAAAGAAACTTCTCTGAAGAGGAAATGCAAATGGCCAACAGACATATGAAAAAATGTTCAACATCACTTGCAATCAGGGAAATGCAAATCAAAACTACCATGAGATACCATCTCACACCAGTGAGAATGGCACATATTAAAAAAACTAGCAACAACAAATGTTGGCGAGGATGTGGAGAAAAAGGAACTCTTCTGCACTGTTGGTGGGAGTGCAAACTGGTCCAACCACTATGGAGAGCTGTGTGGAGATTTCTGGACCTACTAAACATAGAGCTTCCATATGATCCAGCAATTCCACTCCTAGGTATTTACCCAAAGGACACAGAAACATCAATTCCAAAGAGCACCTGCACCCCTATGTTTATAGCAGCACTGTTTACAATAGCTAAGCTTTGGAAACAACCCAAATGCCCAAAAGTAGATGACTGGATCAAGAAGATGTGGTACATATATACCATGGAATATTACTCAGCATTCAAAAAAGATAAACACATGCAATTTGCAGCAACATGGATGGCGCTGGAAGGGATCATGCTCAGCGAAATAAGCCAAAAAGAAAAAGAAAAATACCGGATGGTCTCACTCATAGCAGGAATCTAGAAAACTTAAATAAGGGACCAGGAAAATGAATATAAGAAAGTGAAAATCAAAATCAACAAAAAACTATGAACCAGAGACACTTTTTGGGGGGTGGGGGACGGGAGGGGAAGGATTGGGGTCAGAATGGGGCGTTTGCAATTGTATGGGGGAATATAAAAATAAAATTTAAGATAAAAAAAAAATTTCAAAGAAAGATAAAAAAAAACCCTTAAAAATCTAAAATAAATGAATAAATAAATAAAGACACCTTGTTCACCTCAAAAAAAAAATTATCTGAGGGCAAACCATAGTCCAATAATAGACAAGATCCTCATCTTTGTGAAGCATGTAGTTTCAGGGATCCAGTATCCCAGTGCAATGATTTTATCACAAATAAACAGGTTTCTTATAGCTAGAAAAAAAAAAAGATTGTGGTGATCATTAAATACAAATGCAACAGTTCAACAGAATAAAACATTATTTCTTATGAATTCCTTCTTAGAACAGTTCTCTTGAACCATTTTTTTCCTGCTTGGTCTTATAAGAATACTAGCAACCTCTGGCTCACAGATCAACTATCCTAGATAATATCATAGTATATTACATCAATTCTTTGGATGTGGACTAAGAGGTCATTGAGAAGGAACATGAGCTTCTTATCATGTAACATCTGATACTTCTTATCAGGTAACATCTGTCACATTTGTTCACTTTGTATTGGGAAGAACGAGTCACATGATCACTCATAACTGCACAGGAACTGGGAAAGCTACTTTTGCATCACTAATTTCAGGCTGTAACTATTATGGAATTGAAAAAGGATTTATAGGTAGCTTCTTGTCTTTAATATAGAGAAATATTGCTATTCAATTGTTCTGAACGTAAGAGGGTGTTTGTGTTGCAGGTTTTGTGGGTTTTTTTTGGTCTGTTTATATTTTGCCTGCTCAATTTTCTGGCCAACTAGGTACATATAAAGCCCCCAAATGCAAATTAACTCATATTGGGAACAACAGAATGAAATAAATCTGCAAAAACAAGGTCAGCATAAAGAGCTCATCTCACTAAACAGAGGAAAGAATTGAACTCAATATTCTATATCCATGTAGAAAATGCTTGAATTAAGATGAATGCTTGAATTAATGCTTGAATTAATAAGGTGAACAGATTTTTGACTTTGAGATTCATGTAACATTCACAGTGATGATAGCCTTAAATGTCATTTATATTTGACTGCCTTACAAAGACCCTTTATATTTTTGTGTACAATGAATAATACTCTCAATTCTGAATCTCATAGGAACATCCAGGGAAGTGAAATAATGCCCCAGGCAAACATGCATGAAATTAATTAGCATCATAGAGTAAATGCCACATTTGACCTTATATGGTGGCAGCCCTGTCTGAGTCACTGAAATGGCTTTAAAATGGAAATGTTTGCTGGTAGCCCCTGACGTATTCATCTTTTTCTCCCAGTAGAAATACTCAGTGAGTACAAAGGAGATTATTTTTTTTAAGATTTATTTATTTATTTATATAGGCACTGGGTACAGTCAGAAGCACGGGAGGGTGAGAGAATTCACCAGAGCCAGAGCGGGGAGGAGAACAGGCGGGCTGAGGAAGTACACTGCTGAGAGGAGCAGCGGGCGGCAGGAGAAGTCTGTGCAGTATGTGGAACCCTCCCGGCGGCCAGGGATCGAACCAGCACTGTGGAGGCTGCGGGCAGCTTGGCAACCAGCGCTCAACCGCTGTGCCACCAGGGGGGCCCACAAAGGAGACTATTTTACAATAGTATACACATTCATTTCACAAAGCAAAAGGAAAGTAAGAGGGATCATTTGCATGTCTGGACCTGGGATTTCTTGCATAGCACTCCAACAATAAACAAAATTCTTGCCAGGTCCCCATACCAAAAGCTTTCCCTATGGTCCTTGTGCCCCAGAAGATGAGTGATCTTGGCTCTCTTTTCCTTATATAATAATTTTCTTCTTTTCTGGATTTATTGGACTGCTTTCTATGGAAATTTTCTTCTTTCTCCAATTTCTCTCTCTCTCTAGTCTATCGGTAGAGTGTACCAATGATGTTCCTGATGCTGGTTTTCATGGAAAGTCTTGTAGAGTTATCCTTTTAGAACGCTCAGGTAACCACACCAGGATGAGGCCCAGATCCTAGCACCTCTTAACAAGTTTCTGTCATGGACCGTGCATATGTGGGGATGGACCCGACTTACATTTCTGGAGGACTGTAGTGCAAGGAGAGGATGAAATAACGTATTCAGAATAGAGATAAAATATACGGGTCACAAATATCCTAACCTGCAGGATTCTCCTACAGAGACAAGAGAGTAAAAATGTTCTGCCCAGACAAACAAAAGCTGAAGAAGTGGTCCACTAACAAATCTTCCCTGAAAGAAATGTTAACAAGAAATCCCCTGTATAATTTGAAGAGAAAAGAAAAAAAGAAAAAGCTGAGCAGGGAAATAGAACCAGAAAACTAAAGTGAAAGTGGCAGTAGAAGATCCTCTATAGAGCTCACCAATCCAAAGGCAGAGAGAGGCCAGCCTCGGTTCAGGAAACAAAACCCAAGATTGCACAGTCCCCAGGAGACCCTTCTGACCCCCCAAAATAAACACAGGCTCCCGGCTGAAGGCTGAGTATTACACCAAACCACGGAACAGACTCAGGGATGTCAGAGTCTGGGCCAAAGTATATTGTGCTGCACCATGATGTGCAACAAGAAACATTCTATGTGGAGCCGAGAGCCTTCATTTTTCTCACAATATATTTTGAATAGCAGCTGCTTTGTAATGTTTGCAATAGGATCCATGTCAGGATCTGCAGGTAAATGATGTTTTAGTCATGCTTTTATTTTACTTATTTTTTTAAAGATTTATTTATTTTTATACAAGAACCAGGGTACAGGCCAGATGCACTGGAGGGTGAGAGCATTCACCGGAGACAGAGCGGGGAACAGAACAGGCAGACTGACGAAATACACACTGGTGAGGGGAGCAGCAGGCAAGACAGGAGAGGTCTGCCGCGCCATGTGGGAGACTCGCCGGCCGGCCAGGATTGAACCAGCGCTGCAGAGGCTGCGGACACCTTCACAGCATGGCTCTCAACCACCTGCGCCACCAGGAAGGCCAATTTTTACTTATTTTTTAAACAGATTTCTTTACTTATGAACACAAGAGCTGGGGTGCAGCCAGAGGTGCGGGGGTGGGGGCAAGGGGATTCACCAGAGACAGCGCGGGGAACAGAGCAGGTGAACTGCCTGAAATCCACTGCTGAGGGGAGCAGCGGGGAGACAGGAGAGGTCTGCGGCGCCCTATGGGTCACCTTCCTGCCTGGGGATGTGATGTTGGCACCAGATGATGTGACGAGTCCCTTCACGGTCGCCAAAATGTTGTAGGTGTAGAGTGCGTGCGGGTCCTAGGGGTCACTCTGGGAAAGGTGCCCCCAGAGCTCCCGTTCCAGCAGGACACAACGAGTTCCCCAGCCACGTTTCTCCATGAGACAGAGACACTAGTTACATTAAAGGGCAGATTTAGGGCCTTTCCTGGTGGCGCAGCGGTTGAGCGCTGGGCCGTGGTGCTGCCTGCAGCCTCTGCAGCGCCTGTTCGTTCCCTGGCCGCTGGCGAGGGTCCCACAAAAAAACAGGGCAGATTTATTAGGGAAAGGGAAAGGGACAGGTTTTGCTGAGAGAGGCCTGACAGGTCACAGCAGGCAGGAGGCTGCTGCCCTACAGAGGGAGAGAGTTGATGAGAAGAGGCACCTGCATAGTCACGGGTGGGCAGAGGGATGGCTGCCTTGAGCCCGTGCAGAGACTGCTCTGATACAGCCCTTTTCTCTTTGGGAGGGTCACTCCTCCATGGAGTGGCTGTTTGTTGCTGATGTCAGGTAACAGGCAACACTAGAAAGGGACCAGAGATTCCAGGGTGGGCCCCATCTCCATATCCTTCCCCTCAGGCCTGTGTGCCACTCCCTAGAGCTTCGGATCCTGCTCAGGTGTCCTGCCCTGTGACTAGGCACTGGTGCCTAAGGGTCTGACCTCCACAGCTGGGTTAATGGTCCTGTTATTCCCCTCGACCCCCACCTCCTTGCGTGAGTCAGGTTTTAGTCGCGTGAGGCCTCCTTTCCAGTCTTTCCATCAGATGGAACTCGAGCTGCAGAGGCTGCGGATGGCCTCACAGTGTGGTGCTTAACCCCTGCACCATCAGGGAGGCCCCACGCCTTGCTTTTATGTCAGCTTCAGGTAAGGGGATTTTTAACAACGATTAAAAAAAAAATCTTTCCCAGAAATTCAAGCAACCTTGTTTGCTGTTTTAATGACTTGTGGATATTTTAGGGTCTGGCTGTGGCAGACACTGTCAGTGAAAGGCTGGGAGTCGCGGAGCCTGCAACAGACCCGCCTGTGCCTCCTGCCCTGGAGTTATGTTGGGACAAGGCCTGGGGGTGGACTAAAAGTTTCAGGGAGTGACTGGCCAGGAGCCTGACTTGTGCCCCTTAGATGACCAGGTGAGCTCTTAGAAGTCTCCTGCTTCTCTACTCCCTGCTTGCTTCAAGTTGTAAATGTGCCCCTTCTGGGGCCATGGGTGCTCTGTCACCCAATGGCTCAGGGCTCGGACTTTGGAAAAAGATCACCTCTGGGCCTGCGGGATAAATAAAGATGAATTTTTTCCATAACCTCTTACAATCTAAAAATCAAAAGGTAGAAGGTCCTAACTCAATGCAAATAAAACGAGGTGTGTTAAGAATTGTATTTAAAACAGGACCTCCCCTGGTGGCGAAGGTGGTTGTAGGTGGTTGAGCGCAGCGCTGTGAAGCTGTCTGCAGCCTCTACAGCACCCGTTCGATCCCGGCTGGCCGGAGTGGGTCCCACGTGGCGCAGCAGACCTCTCCTGTCATGCCTGCTGCTCCCCTCAGCAATGTATTTCAGTAGATCTCCCTGTTCTGTTCCCCACTCTGTCTCTGGTGAATCCTCTCACCCCCCACATCTCTGGCCTGTACCCCAGTTCTTGTGTGCATAAATAAATAAATCTTAAAAGATTATTTATGCACTCAAGAACTGGGTTGTAAGCCAGAGATGGGGGTTGTGTTTGAGAGGATTCACCAGAGACAGAGTGGGGGGCAGAACAGGCAGACTGACTGAAACACACTGCTGAGGGGAGCAGCGGGGAGACAGGAGATGTCTGCTGCACCATGTGGGTCAGCTCCCTGGACAGGGATGGTACTCGTGCTGCAGTTGCTGGTGCTGGTGCTTTATAGTGCAGCGTCCTAACCCCTCGCGCCCACAGGGAGGTCCCTCTCTACTATTTTTTTTTTCCCTTTTTGTTGTAAAGGCAATGAACGAGTCACAGGGAGAAGCTTTGTTATACAAAATTTTGTTTTATGAAATATCCAGGCCCCATTCATTATTTTTCCTGCATCTCTTGTAGACAAAGACAACTTTCTTGTATTTGTAAGCTGGAAGGGCTCAGACTTTGAAGGAGTGTCTTGTTTTCACTTTTATTTTTAATTGAAGCTATATACAGCTGTGGATTAAACAGAATAAATTTCTAAATTTAAAAATGAAGAATAGGGGCAAAAGTTGTTTATTTGGGTTGAAAAGCTAGCCGGAGCACAGGTTCAGGCTAGAAAGCCAAACACCCTCACTAAAAAAAAAAAAAAAAAAATGAGGTGACCTTGACGTGAACTCGCATCACTGCTGCTCTGCCCTTGCCTGTGTGACTAGCGGGAGACCATGTTTCATCCTAAAATGTTTTTCTGTAACTACATGGTATTCTTCAGCCTTTTAAAAAATTACTTTCCCCTGCCAAGGAGCAAGGAGGTCATTTTACCAATGGAGTTTCCATCAGCTTCTGTTACTGGTCCTGATAATGATAGGGAGTTGTGTATATTATAGAAAATGTGAAGAGTAGAATAAAATAGGATGAACTGTATCAAAAAGTATTCTTATGACTTAGTACATTTCCTTCCTAGTTTTTCCCCTATATTGGCACTTGCCTGTGTAGAAGGTGGGAAGTAGCTTGATAATTATAAAATGAGCTTCCATTAAATAGGTCAAGGAATGTAAAGTCACATCATCGCATGATCTTCGTCCATAAAGAAGCCCCTATATGGCTGTCACCCATTTTTTCTTGGCTCTTCACTACATATCCTGGTATGTATCACTGCATGTATCATTAAACCTGATTTTAATTTTGTCTGGTATTGAATATTTAAATTAAATCCTGTTATGTTTCTGTCTTGAATGTCACTCAACAGTATGAAGGCAAGACTAGTCCACATTTTGGATGCAGCTTGAGGCTTTTATTTGCACTTCTGTGTAATATTCCACTCGATGTACAGTTGGTTTACATTGTGTTCTACTCACACATAAGGGTTAAGGAGAGTGTGCTTACATCATCGCTAAAATTTTATATTCTACTTCATCATTTAACACTGCACTATAAGTACTGTCCACAGCATTAAAAACTATTCAGTGTTACTGTATCTATCCAGCCTTTACATTTAATTTCGTGTATATTGGGGTTTTTAAATTTAGTTTCCAATCATTTTACTGTAAATAAAGTGTTCTCTGAATTTGAACAGTTCTTTAGGTCATTTCCAAAAAAAAATTACTATTTACATTAAACATTCAAGTATTTTAAATTCAAAGTTCCCTGCAGAGGGGTTGTGAACTTACTTCTCAGGAATAGTAAGGACAGATTTCCTAGTCTCACTAACATTTTAGTCTATCCGGTTTTCCTCTTCAAGGCTCTGGACACACAAGCCCACCGTGCTCTACTGCTCCTGCCTCTGCGCCGGGTCCGCCCCTTCCCCGTGGGCTGTCATGGCTGTTCCCTGCGCCACAGGCCACTCGACTCTGCCCCACAGGCCCCCTTCGTGGTACCCGAGCTTGGCCACCTGGGCCTTTCCTTCCCTTTGGCCACTTGTCAGGGATTTGCTGTCTCGCCACTGATGGCCACCAGGCGGCGCCCTCCCCCGTTATTTTTCACATGGTCCTCACCGCCCTTTCTATTGCCTGAAACACACCGCTGCATCTTATTCACAGTCCAGTCCGTACATTATCCCGTGCTCAGCCGCGCCACCTCATTCCTCCTCCCGCTTCCCGCCTTACTCCATCTTTCTCACCCCTCCTGGCGCTTTACCTTACCCATCCCACTGCCATCATCATTCTGAGTTTCCCCCAACTTATCCCTCTGGGTCACAAGGCGGCGCCACCCGCGCCACCCGCGCCTTCATTACGCCGCGGGGAGCCGCTCTTTGCGCAGCCACTTCCAGTCCGCCGAATTTCAGACCGCGATTTTCCCACGATACCACCCCAGTCCACGAGGCGGCAACATTAGTTCCTCTACTTCTTTAATGTGCCCTTGGGAGCCGCTCTTGGCGCGGCCTCTCGCGTTCTGCCTGGTGCACCCTGGGAGTCTCAAGAGTGATGACGTAATTGCCGAGGGCGCATTTAAAGGGTACATACAGCAAAGGGCTGACAAAGGACCTGCCAGAGGCCTGAAAGCGCCGCTGGCCGCGCCGGACAATGGCGGGAGCTGGGACAAGTGAGGCCCGCGACGCGACGCGACGCGACGCAGGGGGAGGGCGGGAGGCTTGAGCAGGACAGCGGGACAGAACAAAGGATGGCAGGAGAGGAAATCTGTCCTCACCATTCCTGAGAAATAAGTTCACAGCACCTCTGCAGGGAACTTTGAATTTAATATATTTACCCTTTTTTTAAAAAAGATTTATTTATTAATGTAAATAAATTAACAGGCCAGATGTGCGGGAGGGGGAGCGGATTCACCAGAGACAGCGGGAAGCAGAGCAGGCAGCCTGACGACACACACGGCTGAGGGGCGCAGCGGGGAGACGGGAGGGGTCTGCGCGCCATGTGGGCTGCTCCGAGGCCGGCGGGCTCGACCCGGCGCTGCGGCGGCTGCGGACAGCTCCACAGGCTGTGCTCAAGCCGCTGCGCCACTGGGGAGGCCCTAAAATACATTTTCAATGGAAATAGTAATTTTAATTTTGGAAATGAACTAAGGAAATGATTTCAAATTCCGATAAATCTTTATGTGTAAAAATGTTCAATAACACTTTATTTACAGTAAAATGATTCGAAACTATCCAAATAAAACCCCCAATATACACAAAATTAAATATACAGTAACACTGAACAGTCTTTAATGACGTGGAAAGTCCTTCTATTAGTGTTAAATGTTGAAAGTGGAGAATCCTGGCAGTGCTGTGATCCCACCACAGAAGAAACATGTTAATGACACACCCTTTACACCGCAGGGAGTGTCAACAGTCCAGCCGCGTCCGAAATGTGGACTCGTCTTGCCTTCACACTGCTTAGTGACATCCGGCACAGAAACAACATGATTAATTTAAATATTAAACATCACACAAAGTTAAAATCACATGTTAATGATACACACACACACACACACACACACACACACCCCAGCTGCCACACCCGGGCACCCGCTCTGCCCTTCCGCTGCTGGGCCTGGGGCGGGAGGGGGCTCAGCCCCGAAAGCTTACAACGTGTGCCCCAAACGCCCCCCAACCCTGCGGGAGTGAAAACGGCCCGCGGGACAGAGGGGAGCCCGCCCCGGGGCGCCCTCAGGGTCCCGAGGAGCCGGGAGCGAGCCGCGGGGGTCACGCTCAGGGACGGGCCCGCCCGTGTGCTCCTCCCGGGCCCAACATAAGCCCCGGAGCCCCCGCATCCAGCCCTTCCCCGCCGGCCCGAGGCCCCTGCGCATGGCCTGGTCCTCGCCTCGCCCGCCCCACCCGGTGTCCAGGCCTCCTGCGCGCCCCACCTGGCGTCTGTCTCGGGACGCCCTTGGACACCCCGTTCCCTTCCCAAGAGCTCGCGCCCCAAAGCCCGGTCTCCCGACGGCCGCGGGTCTGGCCCTGGGGAGGCCGCGTCCCGGGAGCGCGTCCTGCCCAGCGCGGCCCTCGGAGTCCAGGACCCTGCGCTAGGGTGGGGCTCCGGGGAGGGGCTCCCCTGCCTTCCGGGCTTGGGGGGGGTCACGAGCCTCCCAGCCCCCACTACCGGCCCGGAAACTTGGGCTGAGGGCGTGGCTGCTCCTTCCTCCCCGACGCAGCGCCTGCCTGGCCGAGGAGCCTGACCCGCCCGCCCCTGGCGCATCTGGGGCGCGAGCTGCGCAGTTTATCAGGCCCCTGCGCCCCTTCGCGCCCCAACATGACCTGGTGACTGTGCCGAGAGCCTGCGCGCGCCCACGGCCCTTCCCTGCCCTCCTCCCCCGCCTGGGGGTACCGCCCACAGCCCTTCCCTGCTCCCCTCGCCCCTCCTGAGCCTGGGGCGTCCCGCGTACTTGCTCAGGCTCCGGCCCCACTAGTGGACTCGGTGTGGGCGGAGGCGGCGGCTGCGCTCGTGTCCGTTAGTCTGTCTCGAGGGTGACCCCGGCCCGCCGGTGGCCTCGTCTCATCAGTGGAGGCCCGCGGGGACCCCGGGGCTCGCCGGGGAAGACATTTCTCGGCGCAGACGCCGCGCTTTCCGCGTGGGCCAGTCCCTGAAGGCGCCGCCCCGCCCCAGGACAGAACGCGCGGCGGGCGCGGGAAGGCGGGGGCGGCGGGGCGAGAGCTCGCTGCGCATCGGGTCGGTTCCCGGGCACCCCCGGGCGCTTCTTCCCCCGGAGACCCCCTGTGCCCCCCTAGTCTGCCCCCTCGGGGTCCCGCTGGCAGTGAGACAAGCGTGCGGGGCCGCGGGCGTCGGGGCGCAGTCGGGGCTGTCATCGTCACCCATGCTCGAACTGGGGAGCCCCCGACGTCTGCGGGGAAATCGCTCGGCTCAGCGGTGGGGGATCGGCCGAGCCCGCGAG